TGACTGGTCTGCACCTCCTCCGAAGAAATTCAAGAGGGTCAAAATTCCTCCACTGGTGGCCAGCTCTTATTCTTCATCGCGTGACACTGATGAGTATGAAGATTTGGACGACACTGCGGCAGGCCCTGCTACAACAAACAACCCCGACAACACTGGCGCTCCTCCATCGACTTGAAATTCTTCAGGGGCGTTAGTCCTCAGTTTCAATCCTTTTGGTCATTTGATGACAAAGGGGGAGAAATCTGAGTTAGTCTTCAAGCGGGTCTATATGAAGGGCATTTTTTAAGTTACAACTCTCGTTCTTCTGAAACTTCTATGTGGATCGAGTTGTAATCTTAAACCCGATGGTGCGCTGATACTTTTGTTGCATTATGCTTTGCATGCTTATTCCTCGTTAATGACATTGCACGCATGCTGAATCACATCAGGCACCATATTTCATCATGCATTTCAAATTCTTCATATTATATATCAAATGCGTGTATGAATTACAAGATATAGGGGGAGATCTCCATGATTCAACTCTTCAAATGTGCATTGCCTCAAAAGCAAATTCCTCGCTATGCACATCTTCAGGGGGAGTTCTACTATATCTTGTAATCAAATTCCTCAATATCAGTGTATACACTTCATATGTTTATCCCCGTTGACAACTTAACCTATGTTGTCATCAATCACCAAAAAGGGGGAGATTGTAAGTGCATCTAGTGCCCCTTAGTGATTTTGGTGTATTGAAGACTTATAGGTTAAGGGACTAATGCGTTTGTGAGTGTACACAGGTCTATAAGTCTATGAGGAGTTTGATATTTACAGAGAAAGTCGACCCCTAAAAATAAAGTTCTTCAACTAAAGACTTTGATATTCTGAAGACTTTCTGAAGACTTTGAAAGTGAAGAAATTGGTGTGACCTTGAAGACTTGGTATTCATTTGTGGAACATGAAGCGTGAAGACTTTTGTTTTCGTAGTTTCATTTTCTCTTTCTTGAGTCACAGGAAACACCGTACTGTTAAAGGGGGTCGAGGAAATACTAAGGAAAAATTTCCATGTGATGCTCAACTCAAAATCCTACACCTACCAATCCCTTCGAGTGAAGCCTTTGGAAATCTCATACAGTTCAGTCACTTTCTTCAGTGATAGAGACGAAGTTCTTCTGGTCACTGATGAATTTGTTCTGACTGAGGAGTTAGGAATTCGTCAGTGCGAATTACCTACACAGTGAGGTACATGATAGCCCTGAGGAATTTGAGAGTCAAATTTCCGACCGTTGCTGTGCTGCGCGCCAGCTGTCCCAAAATATCTTATCCACCTAACGGTCATATCATTGAGGGGCATTTATGTCTTATCATGTCGGGCTGCTCCCTAGGCTATAAATAGCCGCCCCCTACAACCACTAGCTGGTTGGCTGCTCCGAGAGAACTTGACACTTGTCATTTAAGAGCAACCCATCCTTCGAGGACTTTGAGCGAAAATCATCGAGTGAGGAAAACCCAAAACCAAACCCCTACAAACCCAAAGTGATTGAGCATCACTGAAGAAATTGATCCTGCGTGGATCCGACACTTGATCCTGCGACTGGGTGTCCGGAACTGTGTGTCCTCGAGTTTAAATACTCAGTCGCTCCAACCCGACGTACAACTGAGATAGCAGTTGGAACTGGTCTACCAAATCATTGTCTTCACCAACCTACTGGTTCTATTTCCTCAACCCTTTCATTTCCTCATTACTGTGTTGAGTGTTTGTTCATATCTGTGTTTGAAGACTTTGACTGAAGACTTTCTTAATTTCCTCAGCTCAATTTCTTCAGTCTGTTTGTCTTCATCTTGTGTTATCCTGTGATTACACTTTCTGTACTCTGTGCTAGTCTTCATTTCATCATGATGACCATGCTTGTATTCTGTTATGCTTACTTCTGAGTACTTATTCCACTGCTAATAGTTCTTCGCTAAGGAATTTCCTCACCGGCAAATTCCTCAGTGAAGAATTCATAAAAATCGCCTATTCACCCCCCCCCCCTCTAGTCGACATAACGCACTTTCATGGTTCTTGAATTATCATGTTGATCTCATCACTTTACTTAATTAATTTGTTGGGTTGTTAATGATTACTTTTAATAGGGATTGAGAGGGGGATTACCTTCTCAATGTTTTCAACAAACTTTGTAGTTAAATAAAATATATTCCTCTGCAAAAAATTGGCTTTTCGCAAAAACATTATAACCATAGAGCTTTTCCACTAGCCATATATGCATGTAGTGATAGCCATTATTCATCATTATCCTATTGTGTGAATTTGCCAGTACATTCAATGTACTGACCCTTTGTGGCTGCAACGTCTCATGTTGCAGGAATCTTACGACGAGTATGTGATACGTTAGGGTTATGATTTCTACACTCAACTTTGCCGTTGGTGTTGATGGGAATCCACAACCTTGTTGTTACTTCCGCTATATGGATTGAGGTAATAGTATTTGCGTTATTTTATACATGTGATTTACCTCTGTTATAAATCCTTGAGTACTGTGTGTGTCAACTTACCGATCCAGGGATGATAGTTAAGCACAGAGACTTGATCCATTCGGGTCGGGTCGCTACACCATTGGCTCACGCATCGCCCAGACGAAAACCCCGATACAAGTCACCCCCTTGAATCGATCTGGAATTATCCACTCGATCTCATCCATCCTCGCATCTATCGACAATTGCAACGTGTGTTGCACCAGAGTTTTGGTGCTTGGAAACCAGGAGCAGATCTCCTTGCACTTTTCTAGTAAGATAGCATCACCGGCACAAAACATCTCCAACGGTGTCATCATCGGCGACGGCGGCTACATGATTGGGGGTGTGGAGGGGGGTAGAGGTGGGTTGCTCGGGCTGCGGGGGGTGTGAAGAGAGAGAGAGAGAGAGAGAGAGAGAGAGAGAGAGAGATTTCGTCCCCCTTTTTAGACAAATGACCCAGCCGTCCACTAGCCACTCCCACCTGTCAGCATTTCAATGGTCCCACGTGTCAGTACCGGGTGAAGTAACAGTCAATGTCTTTGACCCGATAGCACGACACTGTTTGGCCTTTTGTAAGGTGGAGGAGAGTAGGGGGGTGAGCAACTTTAGATGGGTGGGGCAAAACTGAGCACAACTAAGGAAGGAGGGGCACAAAAATAGAAATCCCCTTTATTAAAGCATGTTTTCACTTGGAATTATTTTTGTAAATACAATATGGTGTGGTCTCGTAGTTATGATTTTGTATTCATGATACACAGAGTTGAATTATTTTGTTACTCCTGAATATGGATAAAGTACTTTAATTTGTTGAGGTTTCAAATGAGGTTGCAAGAATTAGAACGGAATTTGGATGTGGCTAACATAGCTTTTTTTGATGAAATTTTTATATTTAGTTATCTCAAGATATATTCGATGTCATATTTGTCTATTGAGACAAGGCAAGCAAGTTTACTACTATCTCCATCTGGAATTAGATGATGCTCCAACAGATGTTTCTAGATGTATTTCAGTGCTAGATACATCTGTTTGAGCGCCAACTAATTCCCGAAGGAGGGAGTAGGAGCAAGAAAGTCGTTGATTTTGCAAAGAACAATTGTCACTGTAGGCTGCATTCAAAGCGGTTGTCCCATAGACAAGAAAGCATGCAAATCAGCAGTGCATGATTACAATTAGTTTCCAACGTAGCATGTCGGTCTGGTTATTTGGATTTTGGTTTTATGCACTCATGGACATGCTTTCCATTAGTTTCAATATAGCATGTCTCTGGTTATTTGGCTTTTGGTTTTATGCACTCTTGAATTGAACCAACCAATTTGCAGGGTGAGTATTTAATATTTCTACTTTTTGAATTCTACCTCATGAAAACTCTCAAGATAGAGGATAGTTGTGAGGTAAGATAAGGATTCTTGGTGCATCTCCCTCCTTTCCGGTTTATAAGGCTCAATTCAAAAATCTCACCAACTAAGGTAGATGGTGAGTGGTGGAATATTTTTTGTAGTTTGCAAAAGCACCTAATTAATGCTCTTGTTTTTCTCAAACAATTATGTTTATCAATGCATTAATTGCAATGCATGCATGCATAATGTACATGCATTGATCAATTTTCTCTCAATACTTGCATGCAATGATTTAATGAACCTTGGAATCTGAACATGTGATGGGAAACAACCAAATTAAGCCTTATAAAATGAAAAAACTAAAATTTTGAGATAAGCCCTATAAACCGGAAAGGAAGGAGTACTCATATTGAGAATGAAGCCATAGACAACATGAATCCTTGATGCTGCACAAGAACTTATTAGTGTATCATGACATACTGAGATAATTAGGCATCTTTACTCTATGCATATGATGCTAGATCGTGAATATATGGTTGCAATTAATCGAGATGTGTGTTGCATGTGCACGCTCACTATATTCTTTTGTATGAAACTGCAACTAAAATAAGCAATTAGAGAACAAATAATATTATCTCAAATACATGCTATGGCAAATATACTTTAGTACAGCCGTGTATGAAAATCTCATCTCGTACGGCTCAAGCAGCAACACAAAAATTTCAACGAATATTACGAAGCGGGCACAACAAGATTATAACGTAATGAGAATGAGAATACGGCTAAAACACTAATAGAAGGGAACATTTCACAACACGATGCAGGTACCACTAAAACTCGACAGCATTTATGACAGACGGGTAAACCAAAAGGAGATGAGAAGGCCACTAAAACTGAACAGCATTCAGGACACAACACAAGTAAAAACAAAGAGAAGAAAACAAGAAAGAACACGGAAGCAAGGATCCACGAACAAGAATTTTGGAACTATGATATTGAAAGTATAACCTAAGTGGAGGCAAAACAAGGACTATGATGTTCACAACTGAAGCAGCAGCAGCCCACGACTGACTCGAATCGGCATCTTTTTCCCTTCTCAACTCCAGACGAGCATCAAATCATATGGATCCAACTGCTGCTCCAAACTAGTAAATGGCAGGAGATAAATCAACTGCTCTCCTCCACAGGACCTTTAGTTTTGTTTGTGTTGCTTTCTTCGGCCTTGACGGTAGCTGTCTGTGCATCATTCACTGAGATGGCACCATCAGCTGTCAGTTTGTTATCACTTTTCTCAATTTCTTTCAGCTGGACACTCCGAGAAAATGAGTCCGCGATATGAGTAACAGAGTTCCCTACAGCCTTAGCGTCTGTTGGCTTCAGGGACTCTGCGCTGCCAGGCTGCTGCTGACGTCTATTTTCCTTCAAGGCTTTCTCCCGTTGCTCATAGAAGTCGAAGTCCTCCACAATGCTTGTCTCAGCCTCATGATTCTTGAATATGCTTAGCATCTGGAGACCATACTCTAGCTTGACCTGCATGAGTTGTTCATTTGGTTAACATATCCTCTCCTTTTCAAGTATTCCCCATAAAAACTCAATTGTTATTACCTCCTGGGTGTCCCTGCTATTTGTTACAGGTTTGTTGTCATTATTCTCAAGAGTGATGTGCCGGAGTAGGGTGTTTGGGACATCCTTAATAATGTGCCACTTCACAGGAAACTGGCCACTCCACTTGTCTTGCTGCCAGTAATCAACACTTCTGTCGAAGTCAACAGGTCCAATCATCTCAGCAACACCACAGAACTGACCACTGCCATTAACCTATAAGCAGTTATGAATCAGAATAAATTTCACATCTCTAAAGACACAAACCATGTACTCCCTCTGTAAACTAATATAAGATGTTTCAGATCACTATCTAAAACGTCTTATATTAGTTTACAGAGGGAGTACATAGATCCAATGCACCATTCTCAGCCTCATCTTTACATCAACACAAACATATAAACTATAAAAAGAAAGGGCCTGGTCTTACCGAGAAGAACAAGAAAACACGGCAATGGTCTTCTTTCTGTTTGGCCGCACGATAAGCTGAATCCAGCTTTCTATTGCCACTAGCTGTGCTGGCCCAAACATTGTACTTAATGCTCCTATGTACATGGTCCTCCGTGTATGATTTAATTACAAAAAAAATCGCATCCTTGTACTCCGTGGCAAAATCAGGACAATTGTACAGTTCACTGTCAATAAGTTGAGTGGTTTTCTCGCTTTTGTCATCTACTAAAGAATTGTCTCTGTCTTGTTTCTTTGGTTTTGCAGCACGTGGGCCACGGTTTTGCTCATTCAGAAACTCCAATGCACCATTCTGGATATTGAATGGCATGCTCCCCCTTTGTTGACTGGAGTTGTAGTCGAAATTATTAAATCTACGACCAGCAGAACCCCAATTAGGAGTAGTGCCTCCATATTTACTAGCTTGTTGGCGTGCCTTGTAGGATCCAGAATTATACATTGATCCATGCTGCTGCAAATAACATGCATAGTCAGTACTGGACATTTCAGGGCACAGTAAGCTTAACAAATAACCAAAGTTGAGGTCCAATAATAACTGCTCCATTTTTACTGAACTGAACGTGTCCAGGGAAGCTTGTGCAAACAGTCCAAATTGCATGACAACATACCATTCCAGAAACCAATGGTGCATTCCCTTGCCCAAATAATCCCGGAGCACTGCTTGGTTGTGTTGCCGCTGTGGAAGAAACTCACAATTAGTTTGAAATGGCTCTGACCAATCTATCACAACAACACATATTGCTTCCAATCAATATACTTTTGCCTGGAATAATACCGGAGACTGAAAGGTACAGAACTAACCTCTGTTGTATGACTCAAATGGTTGGTGGTACACTGTTGTGGGTGAATAGAGAAGACCATCAGGAAGGAAGTACTCTTGCTGAAGCATAGGGTCTCCTTGAGACATTCCAGTACTAGAATTTGAGTATCCCATACTAAGAGAAGCCGGTGGCTGATAGTAAGGACTTGAGAAGGGGAAGTGCATAGGGGAATAGGACTGGCCCTCTCCAACAGTTGAAACAGGAGAATAAGCTCCATACATCATTTGGGGGTTGTTCGCATACCCAGGAGATAGCATGATTGACTAGTTAACATTGTATAATTACATCAGCAAAAACACTTGGGAACATAAGTAAGAAAGTAAAACAAGTTCAACAGCCAGCTACTTACAGGTGACGCAGAATGGAGTCCTTCCATACTCACATAATAGGGATACTCTTCCCATTGCCCTGAAGGATTGATGTATCCTACAGATGATCCAAATAATATTCAAATTAAAAAAGCATTCCATGAAAAGGATATACCAAATAATCTACCATCTAACCTCGTAAGAATCAAGATATAACACTTCAATAGCACTTCATATTACTACCTCTGTAACTAAATATGAGACGTCTTATATTTAGTTACAGAGGTAGTGGTGAACAAAGAAGACCAGTGAAGCAAAAAAATCAATTGTATGAATAGTAAAAAACAAATATAGTGGGCAACAATGCAAACTTGACCCTTTATGCCCCGCTTGGATTAGCGTTTTCAATAGTATTCGGACGGTTTAGGATACACGCCCGGACTGGTGGTTTTGTTATATCTGTAATTTATATCTGTAGAATAAATACAGGTGTAGGAATTTACACCCATTCCAAGCAGGGCCTTAGTGTTCTGGGTATGTATTTTGCCCTCTGCAATGTGCAAATGATGCTTAGAATATGTATAAGTATCAGCATTATTAGTACACAGAAAATAATAGCAACCTAACCTCCAGAATAGACTGTCTGTGGCTGTGGTACATTCACATTGGGCTGGTAGACATAAGGCTGTTCTCCACCTTTTCCCAAAAAATTAGCCTTCTCATGTGCACCTTCTGGTGACTTTAAGGAGGTAGAGCCACGCGCATCAGTAGCACTTGTTTTCTCAGCTGTAATAGAAATAATCTGATGCAACAACAATCAACTATTGGTAATATTTCAATGTTTGCACAGAAGGGGAGAAAATAAACTGTACAGGCACATTACCTGCTCTTTGGTATTTACACTCTTGGAGGGGCTATTATCGACTACAATTTCTGATTGCAGCAAAATTGTGCAATCTACAAAAAGGAAGGTGCGTGCACACATAAGCTGAAAAGGGGGATTTCCAGAAAGTTTTGCCATGGTACATACTGAACTTGCATCATATAAGCCAGAGAATTGTCCGACCAACATGCTAAAGCACTCTTTGATTCACAGGTATTTCACATGAGACAGATTGCTTAAGGAATTGAGAGGAAAAAACTGCAAACCTAAGACACATGCAAAAAAAGAGTGCTTGTACTTCTGAAGCAATTACCAGCAACCTCTTATCAAATTATTTACCATTGGTCACACCCATGTCCTTTGCTCAAGACACCCATGTGACTGTAAAATAGCTTTGTGATGCTCAGTGTATCAGTAGCAAAACTAATTAATTCAGTGAACCAGCTAACTCAAATTTCAGGCAGGCTTAAAAAGTACTTATGAGCCTTTACCACACATTATCTGTAAGCAACGAGTAGGGGCAATTGTCGAGCTAATACATCCTATAACATGTCGCTCATTTGCTATATCCGCAGCTGGCAAAAAAGCACTAATCTCCGGACCCCTGCACGGGGCACCGTGCAGACAGCAATTCAGCACAACCAAATTGTTATTGGAGGAATTCCACCCTTGCAGCGGTAGGTGCGTACCCCAAACGTGCTAATTCTCGGTAAACAAGCCACAATTACGCGCTCCGGTTTAGGGTTACAACCAACACCCTCGTAGCACCGCGAGGTCTGGAGCAGAAGAAGGCTCCAGAAAAACAGGAGTGTAAATTCGTCCTCAATCACTCCCGGCGAGGGAAGCACGCGGATGAATTGGAGCTACCAAAGCAAAGATAGGGCTTACCGACGAATCCGGACGGATCTCCTCCGCTCAACGCCATGTTCCGGCAGATTGGGCGAGGAGGAGGGAGACGAGCAGGAGAGAAAAGATGGGCTAGCCTAGCTACGTGCTCCGGCTGGAGGAGACACGGAGGCCGTCGGTGGTCGGCGAGGAGAGGTTTCCTTCCACCGTCGGGTTTGACGCTGGCGAGTACGCGAGACGAAGAGGAAGAGGTCCGGCCACGCTAATCATCGCGGGTTTTAAAAACCGGACATGTGCCGGCTTGTTCTGTCCACCCGCACAATCCCGGTCCGGCTTGTGAAAGTAAAACCTGCCTCGCAGGCTCCACTCATGTATATGTACCAAACGAAAAATGTGAAAAGACTACTTATGCCCCCAATAAAGAAAAATGTTGGGCGTCACTTTTTTTTTTCGTTGTAGTTCGTTGCAGTTGGGTGATGCCGGCACATGATGGTGATGAGGGGTAGGGTTTCGATGTGGTTGCATGCAGTCACCGCGTCGGGGAAGGACACAACAGCTCATCTGCGATTTTTCGGTGTTGTGGTGGCAAGTGTCGCGGCGTAGGTCGAAAGATCATTACATGGGGCATTTGGCGGCTATGATATTTTTTTCTTTATTGGGGGCAATTTCCTCTCAAATTTGTCGTGCTCCTCCTTTTGCTTGTGTCCATGTAGAATTTTTGCCATGTCTAGGGTGTGGGTGTTTGCAATTCTTGCCATGCCCCATTATGCAGCGTGGTTACTTTTGTCATTTTTAAGTGTGTGTTGTGTGTTACACCTGCGTTGCCATGATTTTGTGTTTGCTTTCATTGCAATTTTTGACATAGTCATTTTGGATGTGATATTTTGTCATGTTGTCATATATGTACTTGTTTGTTCAATGCAAAAATTTATATATCCTTTTCAGATGTGATTTATCTAATGGATTGTTTAATTTGTTGTCATGTCGTAATGAATGTAGTAGCTTTCAAGCCCGGTCCTGGGGCAGGGCGAGCGGGGTAGCCGCCCCGTGCCCCCAAAACTATCTCAGATACGTACATGTATTTATACTACTCTTAATTCTAATTCTAAAGGCCCGTGCGTATTAAAAATAAAAATCTAGAACGAGGCCCAGGCTCATGTTGGTTGGTAGAGAGATGCTGGAGTGTACACACCAGAACGAATCGCCTTGCCCTAAAAACACCAAGAGGCATCGTCACATCCTCAATTCCTTTTTCTTTTGCGGGGCCGCATCCTCAATTCAACACCAGCGTTGTCGGGTAGGTATGTTTGCATGTTCGTCTTTCTTCGTCCTAGCGAGCAGCTACTTTACGTTTATGATTCTATACTTGTCCCGATTTGTCTGATTGTTTCTACTTTTTAATTTCTAGTTTCTCGATTGGTTCGCTGATATGTCTCCAACGTATCTATAATTTTTTATTGTTTCATGCTGTTATATTATCAATGTTGGATGTTTTATATACATATACTAGCAACTTTATATCTTTTTCGGAACTAACCTATTGACATAGTGCCCAATGCAAGTTATTTTTTTCTTGTCTTTTACTTTGCAAAATATCAATGCCAAACGAAGTCCAAATGTGATGAGATTTTTTAAAGATTTTTTCTGCCCAGAAGACACCTAGAGAGCCAAAGGAGCACACGGGAGGAGACCTGTGGGGCCTACTAGGAACCAGGGCGTGCCAGGGGCCCCAGGCGCACCTTGGTGGGTAGTGGACCCACGGGCACCCTTTTGACCTACCTCCACCTCTATAAATACTCTAAAATTCCAAAAACCCTAGGGGAGACGAGGAAATACAATTTTCGCCGCCGCAAGTTCCAGAACCATGAGATCCTATCTAGAGACCTTTTTCGGCACTCTGCCAGAGGGGGCAACGATCACGGAGGGGTTCTTCATCATCCTTGTTGCCCCTCCGATGATGCGTGAGTAGTTTACCACAGACCTACGGGGTCGTAGCTAATAGCTAGATGACTTCTTCTTTCTTTTTGATCTTCAATACAATGTTCTCTTCAATGTTCTTGCTGATCTATTTGATGTAACTCTTTTTTACAGTGTGTTTGTTAGGATCCAATGAATTGTGAATTTATGATTAGTTCTATCCATGAATATTATTTTATCTATGTTGAACTCTTTTATGCATGATTGTTATAGCCTCGTATTTGTTCTTCGAAATTTTTGTTTGGTTTGGCCAACTAGATTGATTTTTCTTGCCATGGGAAGAGGTCCATTGTGATGGGTTCGATCTTGCGATGCTCAATCTCAGCGACAGAAAGAAACATGACACGCATGTATTGTTTCTATTAAGGGTGACAAGATGGGGTTTATTCATACATGAGTTTTGTCGGGGATATACCCCGCGGTATGACTCGGCCGGAAGTATGACCCGGCCGGACTTGGCGCTTCACCGTGACCCGCTGAAGGACTGGCGACTCACGGGTTTGGCGGCTCACTGGTCAGGTGACTCACGAGCCTGGCGACTCACGGATGACCCCGACGGTGGGTCAGATAGAAGACTAGGCCCAAGGCCCAGAAGGCTGGCTGATGTTATGACGGGACGGCTTAAGAGGAAAGGGATGACGAATATTTCCTTTACGCGGAAGCAAGACCCGGACTTGTATTCAACTTGTAAGAAAAGATAGACTAGCCTTAGTCCTACTCGGACTCCATATGTAACCCGCCCCTTCAACATATATAAGGAGGGGCAGGGCCCCCAAAGAGGGAGAGGCAAGCAACAAGAAACAATATCTAGGGCTAGACACAAGGAGGAGAGTCGGCTTACGGCGACTCCCTCATGATCATAATGAGACCTAGCCACAAATAGCATGTAGGGTTATTACCGGATGATGTTTCCCGGGGCCCGAAGCTGTGTAAATCCTCGTCTTGTGTGTTGCGTCTCTCGATTCCGCTCAACCCCTTCAAGCTATCACATAGATGCGTTGGCCTCGCGACGAAGTCCTTACATTAGGACATCTGCCGTGACAATTCCACGACAGTTGGCGCCCACCATGGGGCTCGCGCACGGTGGTGTTGAGTTCTTGAAGGGATCTCATCTAGGGATCGACGAGCTCGAGATTTCGTCGGATAAGGAAGATCCGGCAAGTTGGCGTTTTTTGATCAGGAACGTGATTAGCTTTGGAGCTAACAGATACGAGATTAATCAGAAAAGAAAGATTTTAGGGTTTTGTGTGCGCCACCCCGCTCGTGGCTCGGCGACTCGCCGGATCCAAAGACCGATCAATATCTGTTGTTGTGCACCGCAAGTCGGAAAGTAGCCGACCAATCCAATTACGCTGCCATGTACCTTTTGTTCGTTAAAGTCTTGAGGCGACAGCGATGCAGCAATTCACCAGGAGATTTGATAGATCATTGTTGCTACTAATTGCGCGAAGGGGACCTGAGACGATCTGTTACGTCATTGCAAGTAGTACTGTAGTACTGCAAGTAGTACGCAAGTAGTACCTGGCTTTTAAAGAATCCAGAGATGATTTCCAACTGGGCTTGATGTGTCGATCTGCTATCCGAAGGACGCTGCTATTGTTTTCCTGTGTTCGCGGCTGTTGCTACCCCAGGGAAAAAATATACAACGACCCAGATACGGATACGGCGACGACCCGGATTCGCTGACGCCGAACCATAGCAGCCTCAAGTCACTGAGTTGCCGCCTCTCCGATTCTCCGCCCTCGCCTGGAAGACGCCGCCTCCTGGAGTTGCCCCTGTCAAGCCAAATCGCTTCTGTCGGGGATATACCCCGCGGTATGACCCAGCCGGAAGTATGACCTGGCTGGACTTGGCGCTTCACCGATGACCCGCCGGAGGACTGACGACTCACGGGTCCGGCGGCTCACTTGTGTGACGACTCACGAGCCTGAAGACTCATGGGTGACCCGTCGGGTGCTTCAGATGGACGACAAGGCCCAAGGCCCAGTATGTCGGTTCAATAAAGGTGGGCCGGCTTAAGAGGAAAGGGATGACGAATATCTCCTTTACAAGGAAACAAGACCCGGAGTTGTATTCAACTTGTAAGAGAAGATAGACTAGTCTTAGTCCTACTAGGACTCCACATGTAACCCGCCCCTCTAACTTATATAAGGAGGGGCAGGGCTCCCCAAAGAGGGGCAAGCAACAAGAAACAATATCTAGGGCTAGACACAACTAGAGGAGAGCCGACTTACGACGACTCCCTCATGATCATAATGAGACCTAGCCACAAACAGCATGTAGGGTTATTACCGGATGATGTTTCCTGGGGCCCGAAGCTGTCTAAATCCTCGTCTTGTGTGTTGCGTCTCTCGATTCCGTCCAAC